CCTAGACACCAGGCAGGCCCCTCCCCCTAGACACCAGACAGGCTCCGCCCCCTAGACACCAGGCAGGCCCCGCCTCCTAGACACCAGGCAGGCACCGCCCCCTAGACACCAGGCAGGCCCCGCCTCCTAGACACCAGGCAGGCACCGCCCCCTAGACACCAGGCAGGCCCCGCCTCCTAGACACCAGGCAGGCACCGCCCCCTAGACACCAGGCAGGCCCCGCCTCCTAGACACCAGGCAGGCACCGCCCCCTAGACACCAGGCAGGCCCCGCCTCCTAGACACCAGGCAGGCACCGCCCCCTAGACACCAGGCAGGCCCCGCCCCCTAGACACCAGGCAGGCCCCGCCTCCTAGACACCAGGCAGGCCCCTCCCCCTAGACACCAGACAGGCTCCGCCCCCTAGACACCAGGCAGGCCCCGCCCCCTAGACACCAGACAGGCCCCTCCCCCCAGGCCAAGGACCCCTCCACCCAAACCAGTCAGGGTCCCCAGCGTGGGCAGCCACAACCCTCCCCCCGCCCTGCTTCAGGGGATCACCGGGGCCATGAGAGGCGGAGCTGGCCCCCAGGCCTGGGCTTGGGTCCCAAAGGCCCAGGGAGGGCGGGGTCCGGTTCCGTTAGACGGAGGCCGGGGTCTCAGGTGAGTTTCCTCTCCTGTTAGAAGAGGCCAGCGAGGGCGCCCCTGCCCGTCCATCACCTGAGGTCTGGGCTGAGCTGTGGGCCCAGGTGGACGGCATCCCAGTCCTCCTGAGCCCCACACCGCCCTGTGCAGCTATCGGAGGGGCCTCCCCGCCCCCAAGGCCCCACAGGCCCCACAGCAGTGGCCCGTGTTGTCCCCAAACCTGCCCACCAGGTCCCCACAGACCTGTGCCCGCTGGGCTCGGGCTCCCCCTCTCTCCCCTGGTGCCCGTGCTCCCACCTGCTCCCCCAGCTCCCACCTGGCACGGGTTCAGTGCCCGGGTATAGGGGGTCCAGCCCCCCTCTATTCCAGCCAGGAGGCCCCTGCTTTGCTGCCTCCAGCCCTGGGGGCCGGAGACCCTGGAAGCCAGTGGCGGGGGGCGGTGGAGGGGGCTGTGCTTCCCCAGCCGGTGTCCGAGCCCCAGGGCTGTCGGGTTCTTGCCCCGCCTGTGCCATCCATGCTTGTTGAGTGACTCCTGGTTGTAACCTTCCCCGAGGGCAGGGACAGGGCTGCCCCCTGGAGCTGCGGCCCCAGCCCCAACCAGGACCCAGCGGGCAGGACAGGGCCGGGCAGGCGCCAGGGCCCAGGGCAGCGATTTTCAACCTGTGGCACCCAGTGCGCAGCAAGAAACGTACAACATGCCACATCTGGCTCTCGAGCACTGACCTCTGACCTCTAAGGTTGTCAAATAAAAAATGACACGGCGCCCTGGCTGGTTGGGCTCAGTGGATAGAGCATCGGCCTGCGGACTGAAGGGTCCCAGGTTCGATTCCGGTCAAGGGCACGTGCCTGGGTTGCAGGCTCCATCACCCCCCAGTAGGGGACGTGCAGGAGGCAGCCGATCAATGATTCTCTCTCATCATTGGTGTTTCTATCTCTCTATTTCTCTCCCTTCCTCTCTGAAATCATAAAAAAAAATATATTTTACTAGGTGGACTGGTTAATAATGCAGATTTTTTTCAATAGATGGAGTTACACATATGTTGACATATATGCGATTTGATATGTATGCTATTTTCTTGTATTGACAACAAGCTTCAAAACTTCATATGTCAAATTTGCTGAAAGTGTTAACATCATAGATATTTTTACGCTTAAAAATGTTGAATTTCGTGCCAATAAAAGAGCATTTGCATGAAGGTTTAATTCATTATTTTGAAAAAAAGTGCTGGTGAAAGCTTTGGGAAACTTATGGTGAACATGCTCCATCTCAAGATGCTTGTGAACGTTGGTGTAAACGCTTTAAAAGTGACGATTTCTATGTGAAAGACAAAGAACGTCCAGGTCAACCGAAAAAGTTTGAAGACCAACAATGACAAGCATTATTGGATACAGATGCGTGTCAAACTCAGACACAACTCGCAGAAAGATAAAATGTTGCTCAGCAAACAATTTCCGACCGTTTACAAGCAATGGGAAGGATTGTAAAGGAAGGAAAATGGGGGCCACATCAACTGAACGAAAGACAAATGGAAAACCGAAAAATCATCAGTAAAATGTTGCTTCAGTGGCACGAAAGAAAATTTTTTTTGCATCGAAGTGGATTTATTTTGAGAATCCCAAATGCACAAAATCATGGGTTGATCCAGGTCAACCACCAACATCGACTGCAAGGCCAAATCGCTTCGGAAAGAAGACACTGCTCTGCGTTTGGTGGGATCAGGAAGGTGTGGTGTATTATGAGCTTCTAAAACCAGGTGAAACCATTAAAACCGATAGCTACCGACAACAAATAATCAATTTGAACCACGCTTTCATTGTGAAAGGACCAGAATGGGCCAGAAGACACGCAAAGTAATTTTGCTTTACGATGACGCAGCATCACACACTTCAAAACCAGTTAAAGACACGTGAAAAGATCTTGCCTGGGAAGTATGAACCCACCCGCCGTATTCACCAGACCTTGCTCCCTCAGATGACCACTTGTTCCAATCGCTGGCACACGCACTTTCTGAGCAGCGCTTCAACACGTGCGAAGACGTGGAAAATGGGGTCTCTGAATGGCCTCCTCAAAACAAGAAAAGTTCTATTGGGACGGTCTCCACAAATTACCTGAAAGATGGGGGAATGTGTAGCTAGCGACGGACGTTACTTTGAACAAAGCACTTTTGATGTTTCTCTTGAAATTATCGTGTTTTCTTTGATTACAAAATCCGCATTACTAACCGGTAAAGGGTGAATCCGCATTATTAACCGGTATCCGCATTATTAAGTGGTATCTGCATTATTGACCGTTGCACCTATTTAAAAAAAAAAATACAGTGGCCAACACAACAACAGCCGTCAGGTGTGAATGCATCAGAATTATACCTTTCTATTTCTTGTCACATCGGCAGAATATATAATTCTCTTTGGTGTGCCACAAAACGTTATTACTTATGTGCCATGAGGTGAGAGAGGTTGAAAATCGCTGACCTAATCGCTGAGCCAGGTGCTGGAGGGAGGGAAGCCAACCAGGCAGTGGCCTGTCCCCCCAGAGGGGAGCCCTCAGGTGAGGGGCCTGCCAAGGGGGCGCACAGTAGGGCAGGCTGCCCGCAGAGGGCAGAGCCGGTGTGGAGTCCCAGCGAGGAGGCCTGCAGAGGCCAGCGGCAGCCGCCAGGGGGCGACGTGGTGCTGGCTTAAGGCAGCAAACCCGGTTGCTTGTCTGGGGAGCCCAGGCCTGTTCTCAGCTCAGCCAGGCACCAGGGTGTCCCCAGCTCCCCTGACCCCTGACCCCTGACCTCTGCGGGCAGCACCTGGGGCGGCAGCAGGGCAGTTCCGTGGGTGTGTCCCGTCCCTGCCCGCGGTCCCCAGGCTGGCCCGTGGGTGCTGGACCACCCGGCTCTCAGATACCTGCTCGCTAAGCTGCCTGCGTGCGTGTGCGTGTGGTGTCGGGCGTGTGTGTGCGTGTGCGCGTGTGTGAGCACATGTGAAGCAGCTGGGGCGCGGGGAGATCTTTCCCAAAGTGACAGGCGCCCGGCGGCCCCCCTTCCTGCCCCTGCCCAGCCTCTCCCCAGAG